CTTGCCACCCACAACACCCATATTCTTGCAGCTAGCTCTACAGATTACTTAACACTGGATATACAAAAAACATTATTCATAAGATATGCTAAACTCTCCCCGTGAAGGACATCTGCCTCACCCCAGACGTGAGACGCCACCGGACAAAAGCAGAAGAAGTGTTCCAGTGTTTCGTGATTAGCCTCGCAAAAAGGACACCCGCCACTAGTCTAAACCCTGCGTGTTTTAAGAGTTTCACATACATGCAGCACATCGCGGGCACACCGCCACAAGAGGTTCTTCACCTTAGGCGGAATTGGCAATCTCCATAATCTACTCCATTCCACAAACGCCGCCTGAGATCAACTGTCACCATCGCAACAGTGAGCACTTGGTACCCCTCACGAACTTTATACGCTTTAGCCATGTCGAGCTTAAGTCGTGCAATCATCTCCTTCGTTACACGGCATGGCACATCGGGAATAAAATTGGCCTAGACAGAAGAAGACATAAAAACCGCATCGTAGTACCTCATAATCTCCGTAGCCATGTCTGCTCCCTCGACATATATACCATGTTGGCCTTGCAGACGTAATAACAAATTACACCGCTTGCGTGCAGTTGCCGACTTATGAAAGTATAGTTGTTTTGATCGTTGACGCCAAAAAAGCCTCCTCCTGCGCCATGCGGGCTCACAACTTGTTTTCCAGATCAAGATACATAGATACTGAACCTAGATTGCGACATTCTCGTATGTGCTCCAGCCTACGTCATAAACTTCCAATTCGACTGCCAAACCTCGTGAAGTGTTCTCCCCCCCCCCCCCCCCCCCCATCGTGATAGGTTGTGGCTACAATCCGCCTCTCACAAGTGGAAAGCCTTGCCTACAGAATACCCCCACGCATACTCCACCACATCGTGGCATAGGAATTGTATGCAACACTACAATTCTAGCAATTTTTTCAATTGGCAAAAATCCCAAGATATTGCCAAGAATTTCCACTGAAAGTACATTTTGTCCCTCTCAAGATTATGAGTATAGTCCAATACGAATGTTATTAAACATGATATGTATGGTAATGTGTATGTACATTAATCTTTGTTTTTATAAATATATAGAAGAATATTATGAATCTATTAGAGAGTAAATAGAAATATATATATGATGTATACGTAATTTTGTATTTTTGTAAATTAAGGTTCTTAACGAATATTTAAATCAAATGTTATGAACAAATATATTTTTTGAGTATTATTGACACTGTTATAATGTAGTATATGTCGATAAATACTTTCTCAACTTATTAAAGCACAAATAATTAAATGCGCCACTGGGATATTAAATATGATAGTTTGATACACTAGTTGATGACATTAACGTCAATTTTGACAAGGATTTACCATACAATGTGGATGAGGGTCCAATCATTTACGACATAAATAATATCATTAACCCATTGTTGCGGCCAAAGGCCCAAACCAAATTTCCCAGTATTCTTCCAGACAATAGAAGATGCAGGGGTTTCTAATACTTTCCCCTAATCTCTTTTTTTCTTCCCAAATTTCTTTTGTTTCCAAAACATTGTGGGTTGATTTGGAATGGAAATTGAGCGATTTTAACTTATGTTTCCAGTTGATTGGCGAGTTGTCGTCGAAGAAAATCCCAAGCGTATGCATAGGGTTTCCGTCACTTTTCCCCCAATCTCTGCTTCCTTTCCAACTCTTCCTAATTTCCTATTATTTAGGAAATACAAAATCTTGAATTTGAAGAATAGAACGGTTTTAGCTTTTGATTTTGACCTCATTATTCTATCAATTTAATGGCTCGACGTCGGTGACTCAAAACTCTAGCGGATGCAAGTAGGGATTTAATAAGATGCTGGTAGAGGTAATGGACAGAATTTTGGAGTGTTTGCCCACCCGAGACGCCGCAAGAACTGCTCTGCTCTCAAGGCACTGGAATGATGTTTAGTTGAAGCATAGGCAACTTGCGTTTGATTAGGAATTCTTGCTAACTATCCAATAGTGCCAAGATGATTATTGTAGAGCGCTCGTGAATATAATCAATAATATCCTCTTTTCCCGTGCTTGGCCGGTTAAAAAATTTACTGTACTGATTTCATGTGCTGATCCTAAGCTGCAGCAGTATGAAGTTGTTAGGTGGTGTCGTTTTCTGTCAACGAATGGTGTGGAGGAACTGGACATATCTTTATATAATTATCTCGAGCCAGAATATCAGCTGCCATTTTGTTTACTCTCTTGTAGGACAATTAAGCAACTAATAGTCCAAGGTCCCTTTATTGATTTTCATGCGTGTAATATATTTTCCAATGTCACTTCATAACTTCATTAGCTTTCATGCATGTTAAAATTAAACACAGTGTTGACAGAATTGCCTCTAGTATTAGTATTCCTAAGCTTGAGAAGCTGGCTTTCGTGCATTGTATAGGGATCAATGAGTTTGAGATCAGCCCTCCAAAGCTGGACATTTTTTCAATTAAGAGTCTTTGGTTGTGTGGCTCTTCGTTGTCGGTGAGAATCCAATTCATTTTAATTGATGCAAATGGATGGATAGTTATAATTCTTTACTTTCTGATGGCTTATTAAAGTTCTTGTGGTGGCTAAAATTTTTTTTATTGCTATTTTTCAAGTGTATGGATGCATCTACCTTTCCAACTTCAATAAATCTGCATGTGATGAAGCTATATGATTAAAATTTTGGTTGTTGGATGCAGCTCGCCTTTTTTATGCAATTGCTAACAAATGCCCCAACTTATGTGAACTGCAGATTATGGCGGATAAGGTAGAGTATATATTCGACAATTATGTATGATACCTCTTGTTTTGCTTTTTCAAATATCGTCCCAGTTGTGCTTGTTTTTCATTTCTTCTTGGGTTATAGGGCTGGGAAGATGATGACAAAAAAGCTTCTTCAAGTCTTTTGGAGGATCCTGATAGTTGCTTAGCTATTCAGGAGCTGAAGATTCAGATGCTTAACACAATCCAGATTGAATCATTCAATGGATCCGCATTCGAAATATTTTTTATGAAACTATTGCTCTCAAAGTCCCCTGCGCTTGAGAAAGTAAATATTTAGACATGTTACATTTTCTAAGTACTTTGTACACAACATGTCTAAGTACGACGACAAATATAGTGTACAAAGATGTCTTCAAAAATGTGTAATAAAATTACAAAGTTTAACATTTCAAATTTATTATATTTTCAATTTGTATATTTTAGACGGTGTATTCTAAGTACTATATACATAGTTGTGCATCGCACGGGTGCAACTACTAGTTTGGAATAATAGAACAAGCAAAAATTCAATCCCAAAAAGGGGTCTAAGGAAGTTTTAAGTCTTGTTTTCTTCTTTTGCTGTTCTAACTATTATTCTTTCTTTCTTTTTCCTTATGTTTTCTTGCCCATTACGGGATCACATAACATACCTCATGCTGAACAACTTAGAAAACATTTCAAATTCCAACACTACAACCATTCCTTACATTTCAAAGTTGCACCCAAATTGTACACATAGAGATTATATTCGCCATACGAATAAGGGTGGATAAGCATAAAACCATCAGTATCCAACAAGTCCTTATGCATAGGCTCATAGTAATTGTCCGGGCAGACATTTTGTGCGTTTAGAGATGCACGAGGGAAGTGTTCCAACTTCCTTTAGATTTTTCTCACCTTGGAGGCATTCATACCCCAACGGTTCATAACAACAGATCTCTCAAGCACAGGGTATTTTGAGGGCAGTAGTTTCATAAAAAACATTTCGAATGCGGATCCATTGAATGATTCAATATGGATTGTGTTTAACATATGAATCTTCAGCTCCTGAATAGCTAAGTAACCATCCGGATCCTCCAAAAGCCTTGAAGGAGTTTTTTTGTCATTATCCTCCCAGCCCTATAACTCATGAAGAAATGAAAAACAAGCACAACTATGAGGTTATTTGAAAAAGCAAAACAAGAAGTATCATACATGATTGCCAAATATATAGTCTACCTTTTGCCAAATACACTAGTTGATGACATTAACGTCATTTTGGACAACGATTTACCATACAATGTGGATGGGGGTCCAATCATTTGCGACATAAATAATATCATTAACCCATTGTTGCCACCAAAGGCCCAAACCAAATTTCCCAGTATTCTTCCAGACAATAGAACATGCAGGGGTTTCTAATACTTTCCCCTAATCACTTTTTTTCTTCCCAAATTTCTTTTGTTTCCAAAACATTGTGGGTTGATTTCGAATGGAAATTGAGCGATTTTAACTTATGTTTCCAGTTGATTGGCGAGTTGTCGTCGAAGAAAATCCCAAGCGGATGCATAGGGTTTCCGTTACTTTTCCCCCAATCTCTGCTTTCTTTCCAACTCTTCCTAATTTCCTATTATTTATGAAATACGAAATCTTGAAGTTGAAGAATAGAACAGTTTTAGCTTTTGATTTTGACCTCACTATTCTATCAATTTAATGGCTCAACGTCGGTGACTCAAAACTCAAGCGGATGCAAGTAGGGATTTAATAAGCTGCTTGTAGAGGTAATGGACAGAATTTTGGAGTGTTTGCCCACCCGAGACGCCGCCAGAACTGCTCTGCTCTCAAGGAACTGAAATGATGTTTGGTTGCAGTATAGGCAGCTTGCGTTCGATTGGGAATTCTTGCTAACTGTCCAATAATGCCAAGATGATTATGGTAGAGCTCTAGTGAATATAATCAATAATATCCTCTTTTCCCGTGCTTGGCCGGTTAAGAAATTTACTCTAATGATTTCATGTGTTGATCCTAAGCTGCAGCAGTATGAAGTTGATAGGTGGTGTCGTTTTCTATCAACGAATGGTGTGGAGGAACTGGACATATCTTTAAATAATTATCTAGAGCCAGAATATCAGCTGCCATTTTGTTTACTCTCTTGTTGGACAATTAAGCAACTAATAGTCCAAGGTCCCATTATTGATTTTCATGCTTGTAATATATTTTCCAATGTCACTTCATAACTTCATTAGCTTTCATGCATGTTGAAATTAAACACAGTGTTGACGGAATTGCCTCTAGTATTAGTATTCCTAAGCTTGAGAAGCTGGCTTTCGAGAATTGTATAGGGATCAATGAGTTTGAGATCAGCACTCCAAAGCTGGATATTTTTTCAAATAAGAGTTTTTGGTTGTGTGGCTCTTCGTTGTCGGTGAGAATCTAATTCATTTTACTTGATGCAAATTGATGGATAGTTATAATTCTTTACTTTCTGATGGCTTATTAAAGTTCTTGTGGTGGCTAATTTTTTTTACTGCAATTTTTTAAGTGTGTGGATGCATCTACCTTTCCAACTTCAATAAATCTGCATGTGATGAAGCTATATGATTAAAATTTTGGTTGTTGGATGCAGCTCGCCTTTTTTATGCAATTGCTTACAAATGCCCCAACTTATGTAAACTGCAGATTATGTCGGATAAGGTAGAGTATATATTTGGCAATCATGTATGATACTTCTTTTTTTTGCTTTTTCAAATATCGTCCCAGTTGTGCTTGTTTTTCATTTCTTCTTGGGTTATAGGGCTGGGAATATGATGACAAAAAAGCTACTTCAAGGCTTTTGGAGGATCCTGATAGTTGCTTAGCTATTCAGGAGCTGAAGATTCAGACGCTTAACACAATCCAGATTGAATCATTCAATGGATCCGCATTCGAAATATTTTTTATGAAACTACTGCTCCCAAAGTCCCCTGCGCTTGAGAAAGTAATTATTTAGACATGTTACATTTTCTAAGTAATTTGTACACAACAAGTCTAAGTACGACGACAAATATTGTGTACAAAGAAGTCTTCAACAATGTGTAATAAAATTACAAAGTTTAACATTTCAAATTTATTATATTTTAAATTTGTATATTTTAGACTGTGTATTCTATATACTATATACATAGTCGTGCATCGCACGGGTGCAACTACAAGTTTGGAATAATAGAACAAGCAAAAATTCAATCCCAAAAAGGGGTCTAAGGAAGTTTTAAGTCTTGTTTTCTTCTTTTGCTGTTCTAACTAATATTCTTTCTTTCTTTTTCCTTATGTTTTCTTGCCCAATACGGGATCACATAACATACCTCATGCTGAACAACTTAGAAAACATTTCAAATTCCAACACTACAACCATTCCTTACATTTCAAAGTTGCACCCAAATTGTACACATAGAGATTATATTCGCCATACGAATAAGGGTGGATAAGCATAAAACCATCGGTATCCAACAAGTCCTTATGCATAGGCTCATAGTAATTGTCCGGGCAGACAATTTGTGCGTTTAGAGATGCACGAGGGAAGTGTTCTAACTTCCTTTAGATTTTTCTCACCTTGGAGGCATTCATACCCCAACGCTTCATAATAACAAATCTCTCAAGCGCACGATTTTTTGAGAGCAGTAGTTTCATAAAAAACATTTCGAATGCGGATCAATTGAATGATTCAATATGGATTGTGTTTAGCATATGAATCTTTAGCTCCTGAATAGCTAAGTAACTATCCGAATCCTCCAAAAACCTTGAAGCAGTTTTTTTGTCATCATCCTCACAACCCTATAACTCAAGAAGAAATGAAAAAAAAAAACACAATTGTGAGGATATTTGAAAAGGCAAAACAAAAAGTATCATACATGATTGCCAAATATATAGTCTACCTTTTGCCAAATACACTAGTTGATGACATTAACGTCATTTTGGACAACGATATACCATACAATGTGGATGGGGGTCCAATCATTTGCGACATAAATAATATCATTAATCCATTGTTGCCGCCAAAGGCCCAAACCAAATTTCCCTGTATTCTTCCAGACAGTAGAACATGTAGGGGTTTCTAATACTTTCCCCTAATCACTTTTTTTCTTCCCAAATTTCTATTGTTACCAAAACATTGTGGGTTGATTTCGAATGGAAATTGAGCAATTTTAACTTATGTTTCCAATTGATTGGCGAGTTGTCGTCGAAGAAAATCCCAAGCGGATGCATAGGGTTTCCGTCACTTTTCCCCCAATCTCTGCTTTCTTTCCAACTCTTCCTAATTTCCTATTATTTACGAAATACGAAATCTTGAAGTTGAAGAATAGAACAGTTTTAGCTTTTGATTTTGACCTCACTATTCTATCAATTTAATGGCTCGACGTCGGTGACTCAAAACTCTAGCGGATGCAAGTAGGGATTTAATAAGTTGCTTGTAGTGGTAATGGACAGAATTTTGGAGTGTTTGCCCACCCGAGACGCCGCCAGAACTGTTCTGCTCTCAAGGCACTGGAATGATGTTTGGTTGAAGCATAGGCAGCTTGCGTTCGATTGGGAATTCTTGCTAACTGTCCAATAATGCCAAGATGATTATGGTAAAGCGCTGCGCTCATGAATATAATCAATAATATCCTCTTTTTCCCGTGCTTGGCCGGTTACGAAATTTACTCTAATGATTTCATGTGTTGGTCCTAAGCTGCAGCAGTATGAAGTTGATAGGTGGTGTCGTTTTCTGTCAACGAATGGTGTGGAGGAACTGGACATATCTTTATATAATTATCTAAAGCCAGAATATCAGCTGCCATTTTGTTTACTCTCTTGTAGGACAATTAAGCAACTAATAGTCCAAGGTCTTTTTATTGATTTTCATGCTTGTAATATATTTTCCAATGTCACTTCATAACTTCATTAGCTTTCATGCATGTTGAAATTAAACACAGTGTTGACGGAATTGCCTCTAGTATTAGTATTCCTAAGCTTGAGAAGCTAGCTTTCGTGCATTGTGTAGGGATCAATGAGTTTGAGATTAGCCCTCCAAAGCTGGACATTTTTTCAATTAAGAGTCTTTGGTTGTGTGGCTCTTCGTTGTCGGTGAGAATCCAATTCATTTTAATTGATGCAAATGGATGGATAATTATAATTCTTTACATTCTGATGGCTTATTAAAGTTCTTGTGGTGGCTAAAAATTTTTTTCATTGCTATTTTTCAAGTGTATGGATGCATCTACCTTTCCAACTTCAATAAATCTGCATGTGATGAAGCTATATGATTAAAATTTTGGTTGTTGGATGCAGCTCGCCTTTTTTATGCAATTGCTAACAAATGCCCCAACTTATGTGAACTGCAGATTATGGCGGATAAGGTAGAGTATATATTCGGCAATCATGTATGATACTTCTTGTTTTGCTTTTTCAAATATCGTCCCAGTTGTGCTTGTTTTACATTTCTTCTTGGGTTTGAGGGCTGGGAGGATGATGACAAAAAAGCTTCTTCAAGTCTTTTGGAGGATCCTGATAGTTGCTTAGCTATTCAGGAGCTGAAGATTCAGATGCTTAACACAATCCAGATTGAATCATTCAATGGATCCGCATTCGAAATATTTTTTATGAAACTATAGCTCTCAAAGTCCCCTGCGCTTGAGAAAGTAATTATTTAGACATGTTACATTTTCTAAGTACTTTGTACACAACATGTCTAAGTACGACGACAAATATTGTATACAAAGAAGTCTTCAACAATGTGTAATAAAATTACAAAGTTTAACATTTCAAATTTAATATATTTTCAATTTGTATATTTTAGACTGTGTATTCTAAGTACTATATACATAGTCGTGCATCGCACGGGTGCAACTACTAGTTTGGAATAATAGAACAAGCAAAAATTCAATCCCAAAAAGGGGTCTAAGGAAGTTTTAAGTCTTGTTTTTTCTTTTGCTGTTCTAACTATTATTCTTTCTTTCTTTTTCCATATGTTTTCTTGCCCATTACGGGATCACATAACATACCTCATGCTGAATAACTTAGAAAACATTTCAAATTCCAACACTACAACCATTCCTTACATTTCAAAGTTGCACCCAAATTGTACACATAGAGATTATATTCGCCATACGAATAAGGGTGGATAAGCATAAAACCATCGGTATCCAACAAGTCCTTATGCATAGGCTCATAGTAATTGTCTGGGCAGACAATTTGTACGTTTAGAGATGCACGAGGGAAGTGTTCCAACTTCCTTTAGATTTTTCTCACCTTGGAGGCATTCATACCCCAACGGTTCATAACAACAGATCTCTCAAGCACAGGGTATTTTGAGGGCAGTAGTTTCATAAAAAAAACATTTCGAATGCGGATCCATTGAATGATTCAATATGGATTGTGTTTAGCATATGAATCTTCAGCTCCTGAATAGCTAAGTAACCATCCGGATCCTCCAAAAGCCTTGAAGCAGTTTTTTTGTCATCATCCACCCAGCCCTATAACTCAAGAAGAAATGAAAAACAAGTACAACAGTAAGGATATTTGAAAAGGCAAAACAAGAAGTATCATACATGATTGCCAAATATATAGTCTACCTTTTGCCAAATACACTAGTTGATGACATTAACGTCATTTTGGACAACGATATACCATACAATGTGGATGGGGGTCCAATCATTTGCGACATAAATAATATCATTAACCCATTGTTGCCGCCAAAGGCCCAAACCAAATTTCCCAGTATTCTTCCAGACAGTAGAACATGCAGGGGTTTCTAATACTTTCCCCTAATCACTTTTTTTCTTCCCAAATTTCTATTGTTACCAAAACATTGTGGGTTGATTTCGAATGAAAATTGAGCGATTTTAACTTATGTTTCCAGTTGATTGGCGAGTTGTCGTCGAAGAAAATCCCAAGCGGATGCATAGGGTTTCCGTCACTTTTCCCCCAATCTCTGCTTTCTTTCCAACTCTTCCTAATTTCCTATTATTTACGAAATACGAAATCTTGAAGTTGAAGAATAGAACGGTTTTAGCTTTTGATTTTGACCTCACTATTCTATCAATTTAATGGCTCGACGTCGGTGACTCAAAACTCTAGCGGATGCAAGTAGGGATTTAATAAGCTGCTTGTAGTGGTAATGGACAGAATTTTGGAGTGTTTGCCCACCCGAGACGCCGCCAGAACTGCTCTGCTCTCAAGGCACTGGAATGATGTTTGGTTGCAGCATAGGCAGCTTGCGTTCGATTGGGAATTCTTGCTAACTGTCCAATAATGCCAAGATGATTATGGTAAAGCGCTGCGCTCATGAATATAATCAATAATATCCTCTTTTCCCGTGGTTGGCCGGTTAAGAAATTTACTCTAATGATTTCATGTGTTGATCCTAAGCTGCAGCAGTATGAAGTTGATAGGTGGTGTCGTTTTCTGTCAACGAATGGTGTGGAGGAACTGGACATATCTTTATATAATTATCTAGAGCCAGAATATCAGCTGCCATTTTGTTTACTCTCTTGTAGGACAATTAAGCAACTAATAGTCCAAGGTCTTTTTATTGATTTTCATGCTTGTAATATATTTTCCAATGTCACTTCATAACTTCATTAGCTTTCATGCATGTTGAAATTAAACACAGTGTTGACGGAATTGCCTCTAGTATTAGTATTCCTAAGCTTGAGAAGCTAGCTTTCGTGCATTGTGTAGGGATCAATGAGTTTGAGATCAGCCCTCCAAAGCTGGACATTTTTTCAATTAAGAGTCTTTGGTTGTGTGGCTCTTCGTTGTCAGTGAGAATCCAATTCATTTTAATTGATGCAAATGGATGGATAGTTATAATTCTTTACTTTCTGATGGCTTATTAAAGTTCTTGTGGTGGCTAATTTTTTTTATTGCTATTTTTTAAGTGTATGGATGCCTACCTTTCCAACTTCAATAAATCTGCATGTGATGAAGCTATATGATTAAAATTTTGGTTGTTGGATGCAGCTCGCCTTTTTTATGCAATTGCTAACAAATGCCCCAACTTATGTGAACTGCAGATTATGGCGGATAAGGTAGAGTATATATTTGGCAATCATGTATGATACTTCTTTTTTTGCTTTTTCAAATATCGTCCCAGTTGTGCTTGTTTTTCATTTCTTCTTGGGTTATAGGGCTGGGAGGATGATGACAAAAAACTGCTTCAAGGCTTTTGGAGGATCCTGATAGTTGCTTAGCTATTAAGGAGCTGAAGACTCTTATGCTTAATACAATCCAGATTGAATCATTCAATGGATCCGCATTCGAAATATTTTTTATGAAACTATTGCTCTCAAAGTCCCCTGCGCTTGAGAAAATAATTATTTAGACATGTTACATTTTCTAAATACTTTGTACACAACATGTCTAAGTACGACGAAAAATATTGTGTACAAAGAAGTCTTAAACAATGTGTAATAAAATTACAAAGTTTAACATTTCAAATTTATTATATTTTAGATTGTGTATTCTAGATTGTGTATTTTAGATTGTGTATTCTATATTCTATATACATAGTCGTGCATCGCACGAGTGCAACTTCTAGTTTGGAATATAATAGAACAAGTAAAAATTCAATCCCAAAAAGGGGTCGAAGAAAGTTTTAAGTCTTGTTTTCTTCTTTTGCTGTTCTAACTATTATTCTTTGTGTCTTTTTCATTATGTTTTCTTGCCCATTACGGGATCACATAACATACCTCATGCTGAACAACTTAGAAAACATTTCAAATTCCAACACTACAACCATTCCTTACATTTCAAAGTTGTACCCAAATTGTACACATAGAGATTATATTCGCCATACGAATAAGGGTGGATAAGCATAAAACCATCTGTATCCAACAAGTCATTATGCATAGGCTCATAGTAATTGTCCGGGCAGACAATTTGTGCATTTAGAGATGCACGAGGGAAGTGTTCCAACTTCCTATAGATTTTTCTCACCTCGGAAGCATTCATACCCCAACACTTCATAATAACAAATCTCTCAAGCGCAGGGTATTTTGAGAGCAGTAGTTTCATAAAAACATTTCGAATGCGGATCCATTGAATGATTCAATATGGACTGTGTTAAGCATATGAATCTTCAGCTCCTGAATAGCTAAGTAACCATCCGGATCCGCCAAAAGCCATGAAGCAGTTTTTTTGTCATCATCCTCCCAGCCCTATAACTCAAGAAGAAATGAAAAACAAGCACAACTGTGAGGATATTTGAAAAAGCAAAACAAGAAGTATCATACATGATTGCCAAATATATAGTCTACCTTATACGCCATAATCTACAGTTCACATAGGTTGTGGCATTTTGTTAGAAATTGCATAACAAAGGTTAGCTGCTTCCAGCACCCAAAATTTAAATCATATAGCTTCATCACTTGCAGATTTATTCCAGTTGGAAACGTAGATGCATCCATACACTTGAAAAAATAGCAATAAAGAAAAAAAATTAGCCACCACAAGAACTTTAACAAGCCATCAGAAAGTAAAGAATTATAACTATCCATCCATTTGCATCAAGTAAAATGAATTAGATTCTCACTGACAACGAAGAGCCACACAACCAAAGACTCTTTATGATTTTCAAATGTGGTGACAACCATCGCATCCACACCATACATATAACCAATAACAGACAAAAAGTCAAGCTTAAGAGGGCTGATCTCAAACTCACTGATCCCTATACAATGCTCGAAAGCCAGCTTCTCAAGCATAGGAATACAAATACTAGAGCCAATTCTATCAACAATGTGCTTAAATTCAACATGCAAGAAAGCTAATGAAGTGACAATGGAAAATATATCACAAGCATTTACAGGCAAATCTATAAAGGAACCTTGGACTATCAGTTGCTTAATTGTCCTACAAGACAGTAAACAAAATGGCAGCTGATATTCTATCTCTAGATAATTATATAAAGATATGTTCAGTTCCGCCACACCATTCGTTGACAGAAAACGACACCACCTATCAACATCATACCACCGCAGCTTAGGATCAGCACATGAAATCTGTAGAGTAAATTTTTTACCGGCAAAGCACGGAAAAAGAGGATATTATTGATTATGTTCACGAGCGCTCTACCAGAATCATCTTGGCACTCTTGGACAGTTAACAAGAATGCCCAATCGAACGCAAGCCGCCCATGCTGCAACCAAACATCATTCCAATGCCGTGAGAGCAGAGCAGATCTGACAGCGTCTCGGGTGGGAAAACACTCCAAAATTCTGTCCATTACCTCTACCGGCAGCTTACTTATTAAATCCCACCTTGCATCCGCTACGATTTTGAGTCGCCAACGTCGAGCCATTAAATTGATAGAATAATGAGCTCGAAATCAAACGCTAAAACTATTCTATTTTCAACTTCAAGATTTCGTACTTCGTAAATAATAGGAAATTTGGAAGAGTTGGACAGAAAACAGAGATTGGGGGAAAAGTGACGGAAAACCCTATGTGAGTTGTTGTTGAAACTTAAGATGCGTGTGTTTTTCTGCTTATGGTGCGTGAGTTTTGTGCTTAAGGTGCATGAGGTTTGTGCTTAAGGTGCGTGAGTTTTGTTCTAAAGGTGTGTGTGTTTGTGTTAGTTCTTGATGTATTTTCTTTGTGTGCTTAATATGCGTGTGTTGTGTACTTAACGTGCGTCAATTTAATGCTTAATGTGCGTCCACTTGCACAACTGCACGGGAAGAACTCCCCGCACCTAATCCCTTTCCTATATATATATATATATATATATATATATATATATATATATATATGGTTGAGTTCACATGAAGACACTAATATATAGAGGACTATGAGGATAAATCATATCCATCCAAACCAAGAGATTTAATGGATGAGATCTTGTCCATATTTTCCTTGTATTCACGACTAAAAATATTAAGAGAGGGCAAAGGAGACATTTGAGAGCATTTATAATTATGGAAGGATTATAATTAACAAACATAGCATTGGAAAAGGAGTAAATTTGTGGTAGAGAATACAACCCAATCAAGGAACGTCACTGTCGAAGTTGTGCATACACTAGAGGCGAGGGAAGGGGCTAAGAATCTTCTGCGAACATCAATGGAGGAAGCCACACCCAGTGGTACTGAACCCGCAATGAACGACGATAATGACACAATTTTGGAACCCACAATTGACGAGGAAATCGTGAATGACTTTTCCAACACCATGGTCAACGGTAAGCTTCTAAATTCTGCGAATGCAAAATTTTACGTGAGAGAAATTTGACAATGCGTGAGTGCTAGGATGTAGGGCCATGGGTTAAGGGATTGTGAGCAACGCCTGTTATACTTGTGTGCCATGATTTTGTATTTTGTGTGCACGGGGATAGTAAGTAGTGTGCCATGCACACAGTGTTGGTCGTAACTGATAAATGATATATATAAATGGTGTCAAGCTGTGGAACAACTAGGAAACAAAAAGAACATAGGTTCGACTGTGAGGGTAGAATCACTAATTCATATGTTCTGGACTGATAATTTTTTATTGATACATATATCCTAACATCTCATGTGCCATGTTTAGAAAAATCGTGTGGATGTTAATATAATGTCGAGTGTACGAGTGCGTAAACAGCAAGCAACGCCACTCTGCACACCTAGGGTGCCGCAATTGGTTAAAGTATTATGTTTGTGGAAGGTGTCAGTAATAATACCAATTTACAAAAAAAAAAAAAAAATAGAGAGTTGCCAGTGTTTATAGGAAGAAATAACAGGTTCATTGAGAAGCTATTATAGAAATCCCAAAATGCTGAGGTACACTTATTAATTTTTATAACATATTACAATGCATCAGACAGACAGATGAATAACAATGAAGGTTGTGTGGAGGAAATATATCATGGACAAATCAAAGAATTTATTCCAAAATGTGACGAGACAGTAGAGTAATAACACGCAAGTGCACACATTTTTGTGCATAGTGGCGTAGATGTAATGTTCGTTTGCCACATGAAAGAAAAAAGATGACAACATATATAACAAGCCATGAAAACATGCAAGATTAGTTAGGTGGCACACAACAAACACACAAAAGCACACTAAAAATAAATATTGGGCACACGAAAAATAGAGATTTGAAACTACGTACTCGTGCATAAGAAGAAAAACAGTATGCGATTTTAAAAACAAACTACATTTTGCAATGAATGAATAATTGCATATCTCTGCATTCAATTATACGCACGGGGGTTAGAAGGAAAATGGCAACCATGAGTAATGCACGTGAAGGTGAGCACAATGCATAAAACTTACAATAGTATGCACAAAATGAAGACTATCGGTGCACACAACAAAGCACGCACGGATGACTGTTTAATTTGTCCTAAAAACACATAATTGGTTTTTTTTTAATCATACGGGCACACATTTTTAAACACAGTGGCACATATATAATGGTCGTTGGGTACAAGAAAGGAAAACGTTGAACACATATATTATACCAAACCATGAGAACATGAAATACTAGTACACTGGCACACCAAAGAGACAAACGCGGACACATACAACATTAACTGGGCACACAATGTCCATATAATGAACTGATTCTGGCAGTGAAATTAAAAGATAACTATACAGTAAATAAACAAAATGTATATACGTCGCGAACATTTGTAAACATGGAAGACGGCTTTGTACACCATTAAAGAAGGATAACAAATAGCTTGATATTCAACAAACCAAGATCTAAACAATGTTAACAGAGGAAAGCGTGAACATGAAAAGATAAAGCAATCTTGCCCATGGCAACATACTAAGTCCAACACACCCAACAATACGACAAAACAAGCGATAAGTCCAATGTAACAATCTTTGGTGGTACTCGAACGCTCAAACGGTAGCGCAACGAACGTGCCACATTGCTCGTACGATGCAAATTTCCTTGATATAATGGAATCGTAAACGCTCGAGTTCAACTCTATCGCGCGAAGGGTAAACAAAATAATCATCATCATTACGCAATCCGGATGAACAAGCCTCCGAAAGTGTATCCCTTGCCTCCTTAGCTGCCAACCAACAACATGAACAAACACAATCACTAAAACAAACTAAATGTAAGCCAAGTGACACAACACACTGAACCCGTAAACATAGGCAA